GTTTTCTGCTCTTGTTCGATTTTATTATTTTATTTTATTTTATTTGAACACATATATATTGGTACAGGAGTGCGCCAAATATATATGCGCCACACAATTTCAGTTCATTAGTTGCGTGTGAGCTGCGATACTGCCAGGGTGCCCAGACCGAAGCAGGTGGTTATCTTAGGGGGCCACAACCCGAGCCTTTGACCTAAAGGTCTAACCCACAAGGCAGTGGAGCATCGTAAGGAGATGCAGTCCCATGGTAGCCGGTGACCAAGGAATTGGTTCATACGCCATTTGTTCCCGCAGGATACTGGTGCCCATGTGCACCATAGATTTGGAATCCGGTTAAAGCGCCGGACATTCGCTTTTCGTCCTCTCATTTTCGTAAACAACACCCCCGCCACGAGAAGGCAGTGAGTAGGACTTCCCTGTCAGAGTCTGTATACGCGCGGCCGTGTGAGAGTATTTCGAGAGGGAGGGCGAACCCCCCCCGCTCTCGGCCATACCAGGGCTTTTGGGGGCTTGGTTTTGATTGCTGCTTTCTTGTTCCTCCTTTCTTGAATCTTATCCAGTGTATCAACAGTGGTCCATTCCTTGTGATGGAGCTTCTTTTGGCCCAGAACCTCATGACATGTTGAATTGATTGCCTCTTTGATCCCCTTCTAGTTGCTCTCCACAGTAGTTCCTTCTCCACTGAGTAGATCATGAAAGGCCTGGAATCTATTGTTGAGGACTATCCTGAATTTGTTGAGTATCTTGAAGAAAATCCGTATTGAACTTTGGTGATGTTGTCCACCTCGTTGTTTGGTGCTTCTTGAGTTTCAATTTCAACTTGGCGACCAGCAGGGGGTGACCTGATGCTATATCAGCTCCTCTCTTGGTTCTCACATCCTCTATAGTCCTCCTGAACGTTTTGTTGATGCAGATATGGCCGATTTGGTTTTGCGTGGTGTGATCCGGTGAAGTCCATGTGGTTTTGTGAATGCGCTTATGTGGGAATATAGTGCCACCTACGACCGTTTTATCGAAGGCACATAGGTTTGCAAATCTCTCACCATTTTCGTTCCCTTCTCCTAGTCTATCTCGTCCCATGCTGTCTTCATATCCGGTGTTGTCCATTCCAACCTTGGCATTTCAATCTCCAATCAGAATAGTCGTGCCCTTTGTTGGGCACTTCTCGGCGATTGACTGCAGCTTATTGTAGAATTGATCTTTAGTGTCTTCATTGTAGTCGTTGGTAGGTGCATAGGATTGGATGACGTTCATTGTAATGCCCTCTTTCTTCGTTTTGAAGATCCCTGGTCCATGAGATTCCCACCCTAGAAGTGTATTTTGTGCTTGTTTGGACAGCATCAATGCATGTGTATGTGGGGCATTTTCTTCATCATGGCCGGAGTATAACAGAAGCTCTCCTAAAGCTAGCCGTTGTTGTCCAACTTGCGTCCAATGTATTTCACTGATCCCAAGCACCTCTAGGTTGTATCTCCTCGTTTCTGCAGCAATTTGGGAGACTCTCGTTGTACGAGCATTCCACGTACCTAAATAAATGGTTGCTCTGGTTGTCAGAAGAGGTATCGGCCTCGTGACTTCCGAAGGAACTCGGTTTTCACCATGAGGCGTCATAACTCTTCTTAATTAAGACCTGACTCCCAGGGTAGATTTTAAAAGGTTCGAATAATTTTTTCTACGGGATAGGGTCGCTAACCCCATGCTCAACTCTCTTTTATCAGGGCTCGGGACCGGCAGTAGCCCCTAGAGGGGCTACAGGCGGAGTTAACCTGTGGTCGTTATTGTTCTTTTTTTCTTATACACACCTTACTTAATTTTTCTCTTTCCATTGTCATTGATTTGTGTGGTGCATATATATCTGGTGCACCTTGTACCAATATTTATGTGTTCAAATAAAGTAAAATAGCCTGAAGACCAACCAACTTCATCAAAAAATACCAGCCTACTGGCTCAATGTTGAGATCTTGGATAGAAGCATTCCTAAAAACGCCAGAAGTCTTAGAAGCTTGGCACTTAGGTCAATCAGCAGTCAACAAACACATTGTAATCGATCCAATTTATCAACTAGTCAGTAAAATTATTGAAAAATACAGGACTAAAGTTCAAACCAATGGGAGGTACAACCAAAATGAAGAAGTAAACCATGACAGGTTTGATGTCAACATTAACCAATCAACACCGAGTTCTACAGGACAAGCTGTGAGCTATATGTGCAGAAATTCGAATACTTTACTCCTACTTGAAGTTTGTGCTGATGATGTTCAGAAGAACGATTAAAGCTCCATGACCAAACCATCCAGCTCAGAGAACAAAATCCCATCAAAGTTATAGAAACTGATTAGAAAGTTGTTAACAAGCGTTCTTTTGGCAGACTTATCATTTTTTAGCTATCAGTAATTTTACTCTAAAATATATTTTGCTTTCTGCTGTTTGATATCGATTGTCACAATAGTATACCATATAATTTACAGTAATATTGCCTTTTGTTGATGTAGTAAGGTAAATTTCTATTTAAAAACACTTTCTTTTCGTATCGATCGTGGTGTTACTTGTTAGCTGAACTGATGTTACTTTCACTTGATATTGTTTTACTTGAATCTTCCCATTGATGTTTTTGGACTGAAATTGATCAACTCTGAGATGCAGGTACATCCAGCTGACGAGTCCCAAACAGGACGAAACGCGCGTCCTGGATTCCACTGCTAGCCACTATCCATCTTTGCTTATGATGTTACTTTGTTTCAAAACCTTCGTAGGTGTTCTGTTATTCTCGTGCCAGTGATACCGTAAACGCTAATTCTCTACCTTACTAAGTGCAAAATTTAATCAAGATTACGAGCTTTTGGAATTTGTACTGTAAAATTCGAGACGTAGTAGATAATTTGATAATGTGGTATAAGAGTTTCAGAACTCACTTTGGTTCGATACATACACCTTTAAAATTATATATATAGTAAACTACTAAAGTATGAATCGTTGCTAAGTTATATGCACAAGTCAATTCAGTATCATCTCGTATGGCTATTTGATTATTTCTATAACCTTATTTCGTAAATATATTGTCTTCATTCCCTATTTTATACAGAATACTTTAATGTTTGGCATGTGGGATGATATTCTTGGTCAAGGAGTTTTTATTGACCCTCAGTTACAACTAACATGGGCGTATGTGACAAATCATGCACATGCTCGATCTCTTAACAAGGATTTTATTTTAAATTCTTTGGTTAATTCTGTTTATTCTTGCATCAAGGAATAGTCTCAGGTCTCTTAGCATTCATTGAAAAAAGACTGGTGCAATAAGTCATTCAATATTATGAGATACCTTTTAAAGATATAAGACAAATTAGTGTCTTTGAAATTCATTTGAAGAATCTATATATTTTTTTAAAATTGATCACGTTTTATATGATCTATTGAAGTTAATTGTTGCATTTAAACTTGATAAATAAATAAAATACCTTTTTATTTTTCGCCTAATGTCTTCTCAATTCTACCGAATAGTATTAAACTTATTATAATTCCTACATCTTGGTAATATCCGTGATAGTTTAATGTTAATGTATTGTCTTTTATTCATTCACTAGCTATTCTCTCAGTTTCATGATAAAATTACACTCGAAGCAAAAACGGTATTCATCTAAATTTGTAGGTTCAGTAAACTTAATATTTATTATTCACTTCTGTCTAGATGTGGGATTGTTGTGCTAATCAGATCCATTCACTCAAAATGTACTTTACATGTTAGGACTAAACGAGGGATAATAAGAAGTAATTATTATCACTATTCTAGGATTATGAAATAAATAACAAACTGAATACTGATGGACAAAATGATCGCTGGTAAATGCTTCAAAGCCCCCAGATGCTCTGGTGCGCCCGAGAGTATGGGGGAGGGCCCACCTTACCTCTCGAAATGCTCACATGGTCCTACTCACTGCCCTCTCGTGGCGGGGGTGTTGTTTACGAACTCGAGAGGACGAAAAGCGGATGTCCGGCGCTTTAACCGGGTTGGTAGACATGGAGAGTCCACCTAAGGGAGTTGGGAAACCCTGGTTCTAAACCAATGGTGCACATGGGCTCCAATATCCTGAAGGTACAAGCGGCGTATGAACCAATTGTTGGTCACCGGCTACCATGGGAGTGCATCTCTTCACGATATCCCACTGCTTTGTGGATCAGACCTTTAGATCGAAGGCTCCGAGTGTGGCCCCTTAGGGAAACCACCTGCTTCGGTTTGGGCAGTATCACAGCCCCCACACAGATCAAATGGGATTTGTGTGGCGCATATCTATTCGGTGCATCCTTGTACCAATGTTTATGTGTTTAAATAAACAAGTAAAATAAAATAGTTACCAATCTTGTTTTTCCCTGCTAAGCTTCTTTCAAAGACTATTACGTGGGACTATTTCCCATAAACTTTAACTAAAATTCCTGGTATCTTAATTCTTACTTCTGTGCTTCGCTCAGCTAGTCCATCGCCATCCTCCTAGAATATTCATATATCTAACTTCTAAATGAGCGAATGCTCGAACAGTGTCAGTTCTTTCCTAATATCTCTTAAAATTATTCTATCTCCACATATTAACTCAATTTATTATAGATATTTCCAGTGTAAATTATGTAAACTTGTTTCGTTTTAATGATTAATACCATGGTTTTAGGTTGTAAGCAGATTAGGAGAATACACGAAATAAATGAACTCATGTTATTCTGCTATGACATTCGTTCTTTCCATTCGATGAATTCATTTTGTTTTTAAACCACATTTCCGATGCTTCCCCATTGTCATTAGTACTGCTATTATTACTTTAACTCTGGGTATCTATTCAGTTACGTTTCGCTCGTTCTGCCGACGTGGTATGATACCGTGAACTGAAGAACATTTAAGCCAGACTGTTGACTATAACTGTTCCGTTATAATGACTGAGGTAAATACTTTACTTCTCGTTTATTCGAACGAGAAGTGAAGCATCGCATGTTATTCTGGAGAATACAGTTTTTTTCCGTAGAAATATTTATGGTCATATCTCTTGAATAAACTAATTGATGTAGGAGGTACAAAATAAGGCCTTTTATAAACAATAATACATTTTAAAAAAGAACCAACATCACGAATTAAAAAGCTTAACTGTAAGAAACAAAATCTGGACACAATTTACTTATACTAGTTTGTAGTATGGCATTATAAGTTTCAGTCAGTCAGTAACAACGTAGAACTTCGTACGTGTGTACATCAGTTCGAGTTGCTACACCACATTATAAGTTTGGTTTTGAATATAGATGATGTTGTGTAACTCTCGGTTTATTTGACAGCATTCTACATAATTCATAATTCCGTCCATTAAAATATTGATCACAATCACTAAAAGTACCAAGAAAACTTTGTTGTGATTCTAAATTCCGACTTGCTAGGAATCTCGATCGATTCACCTGATGATGTTGTTCAGTACTCCTGCTAGTAGTTGTACTAATATTGGATATTGAATTACGATCGCCTAATTCTGTAGAATCGACTAATTGAACAGATGTGAGATATTTTAACATTGAAAAAATGACGTCTGGACTGCAACCCAGTGAAATCAAGCCATATACTCTTCTAATAGAAAAAGATATGAAAAGTTGAATGTTATCAAAATAATAATTTGCAATAACTATACATAAAAACCACTTTTTAGTATACGACCCAGTAATAAGATACACTGTTCTGACAGGTAGTTGATACATGCAATAGTAGTATCAAGGACTAAATTTGGGAAATACAATTAAAAAAATAACGAATAAAATTTAAAAATGATGAAATACTAGGATTTAACATTTAAAGGAATATAATGAGTAGATCTATTCAGGCCACTCTCAACAATTGTGAATGTCATACTTGGGGTCTTTAACTACAAAATACAGTTAATTTGATGACAATAACTCGGGGGCTTACACCTCCAAACACGAAATGGAGTCACAGTCATTGACGACATGAAATGATCCCGACCGAAGCTGCTACCTTGACGCGGTGGTCGGGCTTGCCTATCGTGATGACCCAATCGAGCTATATTGGCTGGAACATATGTTCCTGTAGGTTCTACCATGCTAGGCAGGTCGATTGGTGAACGGTAAGGCTAAAAGCAGCAACTCAAGGTCTAAGGGTGAAGTCGTACTGTTGACTGTAGAGGGGTGTGACATCAGTAAGGTGTTTCTCTCGGACAACCAGCATGACAGCGATGCTGCCTTCCCACAAGGAGGGGTGGGGTTAGAAAAGGTCGACCCTAAAAATGTCACACCTCACCTTACCTCACGGATTTCCGTCTCCGGCGGCAAGGCCCTTTGAAGAACGGAGCTAACACGTCAAAAACCTTCCACAAAAAGTCGTGCGCGACCGGCCTCAAGCAGATGTCCCTTGGGCTCTGCGGTCACGCTCCCAGGTCGTTAAGACCAACACTAATCCAATTTCCTCTTCAGGTTCCTCAAGAAATACCCTTCCACGGTGTGGGCAGTCGGGAAGTGACATCAGCCCTCATACCCGTAACAGCACACGAGACCAAGTTGGCCACATTCAAATCTTTCCTACACCTCCTGACTGACTGACATGAAATGATACGAAGTTATTGTCTGAAAACCTTTGAGTCTCCCAACTTACAGGTTTAGATGCTATGTTTTATAAACCCATTGCACTGAATGCATACCCGTAAGTTTTTTAATGTACAACTGGGAACAGAAGGAATAGATTACCAAGTCATCCATTTACGTAAGTATACTTTGTCTAGTTATTTCTTTAATATTGATAAATGCAACCGGAAATTTAGTTATTCATATACCTTAAACCTAGAAACGGTGACCTTACTAGATCGTCAGATCACAGTTAATTAAACAGAGCCATGTGCACAAGTGAAATAATGATGAAATATTCGGGTTTTATTTCAAAGAATGAATGCTTTATTGTGACTTATTTTGAACCCTACCATTCATAGCGCCTAATCACAAAAAGCTTGCTTTTCCTTAAATGACACAATGGATTGATCTTTTTACTTCCAACCGTTTCCTAAGTATATCCCACACTAGGTAACGTCAATTGACGTGATCGGATGACTGGTTACACATGACAAACATAATAAGGTGTTTCAATTTCACTAAAATTAATCGCCCAGTAGCCAGGTACCAGATTGTCAGTTTGGTTTTCACTCATAATTTATGTGAGGGGTAGGCTTACTATATAGATACTCAAGCTGAAGCAGGCGAGATGACATTTAAACTCGCAATCCGTTAGCTAAAGATTAACTTTGTCGACAACAAAGCTACTGCTTTAGATAATCTTGAGGAATGATCTACTTTATTCCATAGAACTCTCTGTTGACCATTGTCACTTCTTATCCACGATCCTATCACTTCCAAGTAATGTTTCAAAGACACTAATTGTCAAGCGTATGCGGTCTTTTTAAGTTTTGGAAAATTGAATTTCTATGCCAATTTCTTAGCCAAAAATGTATTAGACTTGCAGAACTAATCTACTAAGCATGATACATGCATGAGTCAGACTTTAGATTCCTAAGACAATGAAAAAAAGCTGTCTGACGAAACCGATATAAGTTACTTCAAGAAAAATGTTAATTAAAAAGTTGCATCATACCTAAAAACTTTGTTATCCATAGGAACTCCTGCTTTGATCGCAAGATCATATAGAGCAACATCATTTGGGACGGTCATTTGAAATATATTGAGATCTTTGCAGTAAAACAGTAATAAAGAACTCAAGATTCAGTAAATAACAAATGCGCTGCAGTATAAGAGTATAAACTGCCCGGCAATATTTAATACTTTTTACTATAGAACGAGTTATAAGATAGAGCCGAATTATGAGTAATAAGTAGGAGAAACTATAATCTGTTGGTTTTGAACTGGTTGCCTTTGATTCCTTGGACAGGACTATTCCTCGGACCTAACTGTTGAAGGGCGTGTCCAAGAAGTTCATGAACATCCCGAAAGCTCTGTACACAAACACCACGGGTAGAGCGTGGGCACAAAATCACTGCTCTCTACTGTTCCATTTAAGAACTGCCCAATCTTACAGCTTCTCTCTTACTTTACCGTTGATGAGATTTCAGAAAAAGCCCTGGTGAAAGCAGATAGTGGTAGTGAAAATTTGTTACCTGGAGAGATAGTTTCCGATCATGAGTATATGAACGGTATTGCCGCATCGTGTGACGACATACGTGCTACACGGATAGTACCGAACAGGTTGGTGACCACCGTCCGTAGGTACGGTATGCAATTTCACAAGAATGGCAGGAACTTTCGCCCACACTCTATTGGGAGCGTCGCCAGAAGCAGTCATGAAATTCGTGTATTTAGGTGGCGGTGTAATTGATAGTGGCGGCATGAGTGGTGCAATCAATCTGGGTATAGTGAAAGCGGCTTACATTAGTCTGAACCCATCCTAGGGCCATCGTGGTGCTAGTCTGGTGGTAAAAGACTATGTCCACAGAGTGTTAGCAAGTGGTTTTGCTCTATACTTACGAAGCCGCGTCTCTCGGAGCCAAGAATGTTTTAAAACATTTCAGGTTAGACTATTGTCATCTCCGAAGGATTGCTGACTTTCAGTGGCAACAAGTTAGTAACACTCAGGCTTTGCAACGTACTTAAGCATAGTGACAACAATCCGATGAATGTCACCATCTTGAGATAACGGCTTCATTAGCTTAAATATGATACGAATATCATCCTAGCAGCTTTAACACTAGATTATTTACCGTTGCTAGGACTAGTTGGAAAAAGCAAAGGTGTTCATTTTAAGACTTGAAGCCGGGGAATGAAAAAAATACATTTATATGTGTTACACATGCTTGTTTTGGTAATTAGTGGCACCAGTATTTATATGGATTAACCGAATAAAACTAAGATATCTTAATCGTTGACAGATAAGAAGAACCGGGTGAAATTCCTTACATGACGAAAATAGTCAAACTAAAGCCATATGACATTACACCCGTAGTTTGAAACAAATTAACTGTAGTATTTGAATAATACAGCCTCGTGTAAATATGGCATAACATTAACACAACTCCCCGTTATGCAATCCGGACTTTTTGGCTTACTAACCATAAGGAATGACTGGTGGTAAGTGCGAGTAGCTTTCCTGGTGAGACTATAATTTATGGACGGCCTTTAAGACACGCTAGAGTGGACTTGAGAATTTCCACCATTACACTATAACTAAATGAGGGTTATAAAGCAGTGTGAGGGATTAGAATTATGATCGACAGTTGATAGTTAGAAATTAGATTTAGGGTTTTCATCACGAACTGGAATAAGCTAAAATGCCCAAACGCTCTTTAGTCAGATAGATGAAGACATTCGCACCGGAAACCAAGACGTGTTATCGTAAATGGATGGTTTGTTCATAAATTATAGTCTCACATATTCACTTTTGATAATGAGAGAAGTCAACAACAGTCAGGAATTACACAATCTTAAGGTTAGGATATTCGGATAACTGAGACATAGGTTGGTAGCGTAAAGTTTTGAACGCGTTACAAAGAACCAGGTCGGACCATTCACCTTGCAACCCCACGACCTTGAGTCAGCTCGTTCAGTCCTCAGCCGCAAGGTTAGGAAGTATTTGACCCATATTGACCTAGTAATTCGTAGCGCTATGGAGTTCCAATATCTCTTTTAGTGTGTCAACAGAACGGGTTGATATTGTAGGGGAAAATAAATCCACAAAATAAATAGCTCAGTAAGTTTTCGAGATTCAGTTTCAGTTTGGGATGGACAGGAGGCCTCATGGCCTGTGTTAGTCTTGGCAATGGTGGTCCCTCAGTTGATCCAACTTTCTTTTGAAAGAGTCGAGGGATATAGCCTCAACCACGTACTGAGGTAGTGAGTTCCACTCGTTGATGATTCGATAGGAAAGTCGGTTGTCAGCTGGCAAGTAATTTGTTCTTGACTTGTGAACTTTTTTGGAGTGTCCTCGTTAATTCTCTGTTTCGGAAGACAAGAAAAATGAGGGCATATCATGTGCGAATTTGACACTAAGCAATTTGAAATCTGTAATCAAGTCGCCTCTAGTTCTGCGATATGACAACGGGAAAAGGTTCAGCTTGGCCAGTCGAGCTTCATACGAGAGCTTCGCTATTCCGGGAATCAGCTTAGTCGCCGTTCTCTGAACCTCTTCCAGAAGCTCACTGTCTTTTTTAAGCAGGGGCTGGCCGCCTGTATGCAGTACTCAAGTTTAGGACGTGCGAACACTGTATACAAAGTCAAAAACGTCTTAGTGCCGACATGACTAAAAGCCCTACGTATTGACCATAACGTTCTAAAACCTTTGGCAGCTATTGCACGGCAGTGTGCAGTAGTCTTTAAGTCTTGGCTAACGATGACTCCTAAGTCATTATATGTCTGGACGACAGGTAGCTCAGTGTTATTCATCGTGTATGTATCTGTGCCTTGATGACCGATATGCATCACAACACACTTGGAAGTATTTACCGGCAACTGCTAGGTTTGAGACCATTCAGATAATTTCTTCAGGTCATTTTGGAGTTCTAAGCAATCACTCTCACATCGTATCGTTCTCCAAATCTTGACATCGTCAGCATATGGCAAGACCGATAATGATAAGAGACGAGGAAGGTCATTTACATACAAGAGGAATAGCACTGGCCCATAAACTTTACCCTGGGGCACTCCACTAAGCACAGTTCCCAAGCTAGATAACTTTGAGTCCACTCGCACTCTTTGTTGACACCCAACTAAGAGTTATTTTATCTACATAAATAGATTGCCTCCAATCCCGACATTTCTTAATTTATATAACAGCCGGTTGTGCGTCAAGACAAGAGTAACCTATTCTGAAACCGTGCTGCTTCTCCGAAAGGATCCGGTTTTTATCGAGATACTTAAACAGCTCCTTCCGAATAATCTTTTCTAGGATTTTAACAACCACACTAGTTAGGCTAACGGGGCGGTAGTTCTCAGGTTTTTGTTTCGTACCTGTTTTGAAAACAGGACTTACTATGGCGTTTTTCCAGTCTTTTGGTAAACGACCCTGAGTAACGGATAGGTTAGAGCATGTACTTAAAGGGCTTGCAACGAAGTTAGATAATTCCTTAAGTAGCCTAGGCTGGATATACGTTGCTAAAGTAGTTCGAGAACACTTTAGCCTTACCAAAGTCGTCTTCCACTAATGACGAAGCAGTACTGTCTCCCCACAGAGCAGGAATATTTCCTTTTCTCCTTGTCCTTTGGTTTATATAGGCATACAAGCGTTTAGGACATTCTATGGATTCCTTAACAAGTTTTCCCTTGTACAATTTTCTAGACTTACAGAGGGTCGAGGCACAAGTATTCCGAGCCTATCAATACTGAGATTTTGACTCATCAGTCCCCAGTAACCTAAATCTATCCCACATTTTCCTTTTCTTACGGAGAAGGATACGGACCTTCCTACTGAGCCATGGTGGTGAGTTTTTCGGCCCCTTTGGTATAGTCCAAGGGATGTGGGGCGTGGTAACTTTTAAGTATGAATTTCGAAATGCGTCCCAGGCCGTTCCAACTGAGGACTCTGGGTCTATTGTCCAATCTACTAACGATGCTGAGTGCATGATATCTGGTATATTTGTTTTCAAGACGTTAGGTGTGGATTGGGCTGACGTGTGCTCGTCACCGACGGTTATACGGCAGTTGAAGGTTAAAACTGCGTGATCACTTTTACCAAGCGGTGGCATATAATTAATGGCAAATGGGATAGCATTCTTAATGAATAGAGCCACTCCCCCTCCTTTACGCTTTTGTATTCTCTCGGCCCTTACTAACGTAAAACCCTCGAAATCAAGTTCCATACTATCTATAGCCTGTGTCAGCCAGGTTTCTGTAACTGCGATTATATCTGGCTTTGTAGAGCCAATCTATACACCTAGTTCCGATCGCTTATTAAGTAAGCTCCGGACATTAGTGTAGCTGATCTGAAGCCTATTTAAGTGTCTTCGTGCTTCACGCAGAGTGGCTTCGACACCATTCTCTGTCGAAGCCTTACATCCCAAAAATTTACAAATTTTGGGTTCATTTCTCCAGCGTCTAACCTAAGTTGTAGTTCTTTTTCGGTTTCCTGTCTTTTTACACGGTTTGTCAATGCTAAGTCCTTTAGTATGAAGACTCCTGAAACCTTTAATTTGTGTACATTCTGTAAAATTAAGTCACGTTCGTTCGAATAATTGAATACTACTTTAAGCAGTCTGGAATGATTAGGTTTCAAGTCCGCTAGACTACCTAGTCTATATACCTTTAGCAAGGTGACTCCGGGGATATTTTTAGGCATGAGTTGATTAAGCAGCTGCTTATTCAGCACAATGTCATGCTCAAAACGAGCTTAAGGTTCAGAGCTCTCGCTCTCCTTGATTCTATGAAAAATAGCTGTTCTGTCCCCATGATCAGCTTTTAATTTTACGACTACTTCGCGGGGGTAGGATTACATTTTATGTCGCTACTTTTTTTCTTCCTTACAACCTGTACCCACTCGTCAACGGTGCTGGGAGAAGCAAAAACAGTTGCGTCAAACCTAGTGTTGGATTTTGGAGGCTTGTCGACGACCTGAGAGGTCAGGTTATGTTTACCCCTTGAAACCGATCGAGCCCTGCGATTACGGCTTCTAGGCACTTCCTGTGAGATTCCATCTGGGAGACGGGGAACAGAAAAACCTACTTTCCTTGAGCTTTTGTTTAAGTCGGGCCCCTTTGGAGACTGCTGTTCCTTCTTTGACCCGCGTGAGTCATCTACTATCGAACTAACCTTAGTTTTCTTCATATCGATTTGTGTGTCGACAGATCGAGTGCTGTTAGATGTGTTCCGACTACGCTTCCTAAAACACTTCTTTGCAGCATCAACCAGTGAGATGGCCTCGGTTAACAGGCTGTTTGCATCCGAACAGCACTGTTGACAAAGCCATACGCAACCCTTCTTACTGAACTGATCTGCAACAAGGTTCTGCCACGGACATGTTGCAACGAATGAGAGAGGTTATCGGCCAAAGAACTTTCGATGATGGCCTTTTCTTGTCCAAACTTCCTCAGCAGGTGCAAGCTGTGCTGGTTTCGTTCCAAAACAACGCCTCAGACGAGCTAGCTGCATATGCCAACCGTATTTTATAAATCACGAAATCTTCTAACGTCAAGGCTTTTTCAGCCAAAGAAAAGCCTCAAATGACCCAGAATGACATAACGCGTTATCTTAGTTTTTGTAGCGACCGTAAGCGATCACACACCCCACGTAGAAGCATTTCACGTAAGCGATCTGTCTCTAGACCACAAGAGACGGATAATCCCGACTGGTGCTGGTATCATAACCAGTACGGAAAGTCTTCCAGAAATTGCAAAAAACCCTGACATTTTCCCTACTCCAAACCGATCGACATGAAAAACAACTCGGGAAACTTCCAAGCCGGCACGCATTAACGGCAACTGTAGCCGGCGAACATAGCCGTCTGTTATACGTCACAGATGTGACAACGAGAGTTCGCTACCTCGTCAAAACTGGCCCAGATGGCAGCGTTCTTCCAACAAATTCTAACGATCGGCTTCACGAGTCAGTCTTAAACTTACAGGCGATAAACGGAAAGCTGATCGCCGCATATGGTAAAAGGTATGTTTACCTTAACGTGGGTTTACGCAAACCCATTAACTGGATCTTCGTTGTTGCGGATGTTTCTATGCCAATCATTTGTATAGACCTCCTACAACACCATAATCTAATCATCGATACGCGCAAACGGAGGCTAGTAGACGGAAACACTAATTTATCCGTTTGCGTAACTTGTTTTTCTGGTTGCAGGTTATCCCCAGTCACAATTAAGCATACGATAGACCCACCTTATCAACCACTACTCGATACGTATCCTGGGATAGACTTAAGAATCATTCGGTCGTCAAACAGCAACTCCATCGCACATGGTCCCTAAACAGGACAGCAACGACTGGCGTCCAACTGGTAACTATCGGCTATTGAATGCGAAAATCATTCCCGATCGTTACCCGTTGCCTCACATTCACGGTTTGACAGCTATCTTGAGGGGTAAAACTGTCTTTTCGAAAATCGACTTGGTTAAAGGCTATAACCGAATTCCTATGGCCACTGACAACATGTCCCAAACCACTATTACCACTCCTTTCGGTCTGTACGAGTTTTCGCGCATGAAATTTGTCTAAAGAACTGCCACGAATAACTTTCGGTCTGACGAACGCTGCCCAAACATTCCAAAGGTTCACAGACGACGTTTTTCGAGGTCTCAACTTCGTACATGCGTATGTTAACGGCTGTCTAATGACAAGTCCGGACAGAGAATCGCATCTCCAGCACCTGGATCTTGTTTTCGACCGACTACAAAAACATGGCATTACTGTAAACATTCAGAAATGCCAAATCGGATCTGATTCATCAGACTTGCTAGGACACACGATAGATAAGAAAGGCATCCGACTCATCAGAACCAAAGTGGCAGTCATCCTGGATTATCCAGAACCGACCACCATCAAACAAATACGCACGTCTAACGGCCTAGTAAGTTTCTATAA